TGACGCCTCAGATGCATATGTTTTTGTTTTCTTTCCTGGAGTAGATGAGAACTTTTGTTTTAAATTTTCATTTTTAACATGTGGAGGCAGTTTCCATTTGAAAATGTCTTTTGGAATACTGTTGTCTATAAATTCTTCTTCCAGATAAAAGGATAGCATCTTTCAAAAGTATTAGGAAAAAGAAATTACAAGAAGAAATAAAGTAAGGAACTCACTGAGTATTAAGCCATGGTGTAGGTGTGCTCATCTGGGTGAAAAGAGCTTCATAAGGAGAAATGAAAGTGACGCACATTTCAGATTATGTGGATTTATGCCATTTTCATTTGACAAGGATTCTTGGTGTCATGTTAAAATTTCATTTGTGAAAATGCACGATTTCAAACTCCATCCCTATTAGGGCATGTGTTTCAAATGCCAAAGGGGGAAGATGCACTATAATAAAGCCCAGGTGTCTATTGGTATGATTCTAAATTATTTAATTGAACTATGCGTGTCATACACTGATGAAATGATATCTATTTTTACCCAAACTTGGCAGCAAGTCAGGAAGGAGTTTCTATCACAAAATACTAACATTAGTGTTCTAAAACACAGGACCTCAGTTGAATCTGCAAGAAAGGAAACTCTATTCTTGAAAGATGTAGTTATTTTTAGCTCATAAGTATATTTATTATTTAAATCACAGAATAGAGTACTGTTGGATACTAACTAGTTTTTCATAATTAGATTTCTTAACATAATAAATATTGGGCCTAAACACTTCCAGTATTTAATTTTCTTACAGGACTTCAAAATAGTTTTCTTATAGTACTTGGAAAAGATCCAGCAATTAAAAGAGCGTCCAGTAAAAGCAACAGTCGTTGACTAAACACAACAAGACCATTTATGTTGTATATTAGTTGAAAGTTAAAAGAAATTTAACTTGGAAAATGATCTACTCTCTTTTCCCTCATTGATATTGTTATGAAGTTCCTGGAATGTGGACTGGTGTCATACTCTAACTTTTGAACTTTTCAAATGACAATATCTGGCAACAATACCTGGATAATGTTTTGTGTAGCCAAGGTGGGTTGTGCTGTATATTTCTACAATAGGAGAATTTGAATTACCATTTATGCTTGTACTCCTCTTAGACAGTGTACATTGTGCTCTGCTGTAGAGTTGTGTTTCTCATGTTGAACTCTGTCAACAAGAGACCACAAAGCAGCTCAGCTTGTGACTACTTCTCCCTTCTGTGTGTCTGAGAAAAGCTTTCCTTTTACCTATAATGATTTTCTGTTTCCAATCATTAGGATCTCATTTTCTCTCTAAAGAGAGAAGACTGTGCAAATTTTGTAACACTATGTTATTTTTAAATGTATAAGTTCAACTCAATCATTAAGTAGTTGTGATAGGATGCTAAAATTACAAGAATCAGCATGCTGCATGGATAACTTCTACTTAAATTATATTTAAGGGCTATGATAAATTCTACTTGTGTAATTTCCATTTTAAGCTCACATATTTGTTGAGATAAAACAAGCCAGTTGTATTCGTATAATTTCTGTATACTTTATGTTTTATCCCTTTTTTGTCCCCCTCTAATTATTGAACTTGTATTTATTATCAGTCTTTACTCCTCCTATCCATCTTTTTTTTTTTTTAATTGACGTATAGTCAGTTACAATGTGTCAGTTTCTGGTTTACAGCATAATGTCCCAGTCAGATATACTTAATATTCATTTTCATATTCTTTTTTATTAAAGGTTATTACAAGATAGTGAATATAACTCCCTGTGCTATACAGAAGAAATTTGTTTTTTTATCTATTTTTATATATAGTAGTTGATTTTTGCAAATCTAGAACTTCTAAATTTATCACTTCCCACCTTCTTTCCCCCAGTAACCATAAAATTGTTTACTATGTCTGCGAGTCTGTTTCTGATTTGTAGATGAGTTCATTAGTGTCTTCTTTTTTCTTCTTTTAGATGCCACATATAAGTGATATCATATGCTATTTTTCTTTCTCTTTCTGGCTTACTTCACTTAGAATGACAATCTCTAGGTCCATCCATGTTGCTGCAAATGGCATTATTCTTTTTATGGCTGAGTAGTATTCCATTATATACGTATACCACAACTTCTTTATCCAGTCATCTGTAGATGGATGTTTAGGTTGCTTCCATGCCTTGGCTATTGTAAATAGTGCTGCTATGAACACTGGGGTGCACGTATCTTTCCGAAGTAGAGTTCCCTCTGGTTATATGTCCAGGAATGGGATTGCTCGATCATATGGTAAGTCTATTTTCAGCTTTTTGAGGAATCTCCATGCTGTTTTCCATAACGGTGGCCCCTGCATTACTGACCAAGAGTTAACAAGTCCTATCTGTGTCCTTTTTCCATGTATAAAATGATATTCTATGGCAGTGACTCTTAAACTTAGATTCTTGTAAGAATCACTATGAGGTTTTATTTATTTATTTTTATTTACATATTTTAAAAATGCACATGCCAGTGCAGCTGGAGATTTGCATTCAGGTTGATGGCATTGAATTTAGGCATCTGTAAATTCAAAAAAGTTCTGTAGATTATTAATGCCTTCTCTGCATCCCTGGGAACCCACAGTTTGTTGTCTTTTTTCTCTACTCATTGTTGCAATCTCCTTTCAAGTCATTGGAAGCATCAAGACTGGGCCTTCTTCTTAGCCATATCTTGGCCATATATTAATATTTTCTTAATCCAGATTGTAATTGGTTTGAAGTGAAGAGTTGGTTTTTATTCATTTTTGTGTTATTTGATCCTAGCTGTTTTTCTTGTTCTAAGTGCCTTAAATGTAATTAAATATATTTTTTGTTTTCATAAATTTGCTGAGATCCTAATGCTACATTTGTAGGAAGATTTGTTTCCACATTTTTTCTTTTTTACAAAAACATGATATATTTAAATAAAAAAATTAGAAGTATGAATTTATACTTTTCTTAGGGATTCAACACTAAGTGTTTGCGATTCATCAATAATTTTAAAAAGGGACTGGAGAGGAAAAAAAAAACTCAAAATCTTGAGTAGAATTGTTAATGGACCTTGCTAACAAGATTAATTAGAAAAGAAAATTTTAAAAATCTTACATGATTTTCTAAAATTGAATTTTTATATACTTTAGGACCATATCAAAGTGAGATTATCAGAAGCATGAAAATCCATTGGAGTTCTAAGTTACAGGGAAAGGACAGGGGAATAATACAGAACAAAAGGGAGAAAGTTCATGAATATATTTCCCCCCTCTCTTTTCCTCTTAAGGATTCCCATTTAAACAGAGAAGAGGCTGGTTGGGAGACCCAGGTTTGACCCAGAGAGGCTGGGATGATAACAACTGAACTACTCATCACTTGGAATCAACTATTAACTGTTGTCTGTTGAAGGAGTCTATTGTGAAGTCTGGTTTATTGGGATGTTGACCAAGTGTTGTACATTTGCAGGGGAATGGTTTTCAATCCAGCCTGGGGTACCTGGCAATCAAGGCCCTGGGCAAAACGCTAAAGAAAGCAACGTTAATTTTTTTTTTTAACATCCTACGTATTAGACTTATTTATTTTCGGGGAAACTTTTTGTCTTCTCTTATTTCCTGCTTCTGCTTCCTAAGCACTGCTACGGACACTTTCTTCCAGGCATCTTGTATTTCCTACTTAATTTAAGTTCTTCGTTCTTCAGTAACCTCTCTTGATCTTCCTTGCTTTAATCAAAAGGATTATTTCTGAACTAGTATTACCCAATTACAGATCTGCTACCTGGTTAACTCCCAGTTATGTAAAATTAAGACTTAAAATGCCTAATACTTTTTAAGCAAGGCATTAGTAACCCAAACTGATTAGTAATTTTTGCAATGCAAAGCAGTTTATTGTATTGCTATTATTTTTTTAAAATTTTTTATTGATTCATAATCATTTTACAGTGTTGTGTCAAATTCCAGTGTTCAGCACAATTTTTCAGTCATTCATGGACATATACACACTCATTGTCACATTTTTTTTCTCTGTGATTTATCATAACATTTTGTGTATATTTCCCTGTGCAATACAGTGTAATCTTGTTTATCTATTCTACAATTTTGAAATCCCATGTATTGCTATTATTTTTTCACTTAATATGACATCTTTCTATGTTAGTGCATTTAGAACTGCTTTATTTTTTAGAAACTACATTATTCTTACATTTGTATGGTTGTAATTGTATGCTCAATTTTCCATCATTCTCTAGTGTGCGATAATTATTATCATCCCAATCATTTTAATAATAAATAACACTTATTAAACCCTTATTATGTGTCAGGCATTACCAGTAGTAAGTGCTTGGCACATACTAATTCACTTGGTTATCATATCAGCTATCCTACTACGTAGATGATGTTGGTAGCCTTATGTTAGTATGAGAAAATTGAGGCATAGAGAAGATAAATAATTTGACTAAGGTCACCCTTCCAGTAAATGGCAGAGATAAGACTATAAACGTGGAAAGAGTGTCTTCAAAGCCCGCATTGGAGTTGACCCAGTTATTATTGATAGTTTCAGTTTGTTTTCACTTTGACAGTTATACAAATAACATCATAATATATCAAAATTTGGGATATGTTTATAGTTTTTCCTAAGCTATTCATAATAGACATTGTGGTTAAAAAGCAGTGACTCCAATTATAAAAAAAGGAAAATACAAACTCAGGATCTCCATGTTTGAAAGGACTTTCTGTGTTTCTGTGTCATTTAGTTGAATTGTAACAATTGTGAATCTCAGCCAGTCGTGTTCTCACCTTAGCTCTGGAGTTCCTAAACAACTTGTTCAGACCCTTTGCATGCTAATACATGTTTCTCCTTTGTGTTATGTTTATGTGTGTATATGTCTCATTTTCCACATTCCATTCATTTTTTTAAAAATTCCACTGCTAATTGTTTTATATACAAAAGACACCAGTGCTATGGTGGCTGAATTATTTCAGTGTTTTAACATATAGTTTCTTTTCTTCCAAACAGGAGCGAAATTTATTGGAACTTTTCCCATTCCAGACACTTATAATCCAGATGATGATAAAATATATTTCTTCTTTCGTGAATCATCTCAAGAAAGCAGTACTTCTGATAAGACCATCCTTTCTCGAGTTGGAAGAGTTTGTAAGGCAAGATACATTTATTTTACTCAAGGCATATATATATATATATATATATATATATATATATATGAATAACTAACCATGTAATGTTGAAGTCAATGTTCATTATTTTTAAGTGGTAGAATAAATTCATATTATCTTGCTTATATAGTTTTTGAGATCAAAAAGTAAAAAGAAGGATTAAGAATTTTCCAATATTGCAAATTGTTTTTTCTGCTCCTGAACTGTTCCCCACGTTTGAGGTAGATCTCTTTGGCAGTTTGCTCATTTTTATCAGTGGACTCTCCCTCTGCCAGTTTTACTGTTCCCAGTAAGATCACTGCATTGTCCTGATCCATGGAAGTTAAAATGTTTAGATCATCTTATTTTGAAATTGAAAGTAAGTTAATATACTCACTTAAACACTAACAATCATATTCCATATTTTTATCATAACACATCACATGTAAAATTATGTATCTTCACATGGATCAAATAAATTGGAAATATGGTCATAGGCTTTCTATAAAAATATCTTCTAGAGCATTCATCTAGATTAGGTTCTGAGAGAATAATGGGATAAGGAGGAAAAAAACAAATAAACCAAAATGAAAAACATTTATTTTAAAGAACACTGCAATTTGTTTTTTAATATTGACATTTTGTGGAAATTACAGGAAAACAGAAACATAAGAAATACTTCCATTTTGTGCCATCAAAATTCTCATTTGAATGAATACAAGCTGTATAGAGTAAAAATGCTACTGGACTCATATTTTTCTGTATATTCTTTTTTGAGTTGGGCTTATCTTAACTGAAATCATTTTTCTTAAATAACCAGACACCTTCAGCATACACTCAGTTATTAAGAAGAAGAGCTGTTAAGTTAATAAATACTCTCAGCAGGAAGCTTTCTTTGTGGTCTTGTACAAACTTTTCATTTTCTTCCATCTGAACCTATCACTTTTTTGTCTCAATCTGTGCCCCCAGGCTTTTGAACACTTCCAGGGAGAGAAATACAAACCATCTTTGCACTTAAAAGTCCTAATGAAAACATGGCTTTTGAATGAGATCAAACTTGTGAGGGCAGATCATTCTTTACCTAGTGTCTTAGTCAGTAATGCTGTCTTCCCGCTGATCCCTCCCCCCACCCCGGGGACAGCTTCTCTGAAAAGCATCCTCATTCTTTCAGAGTCTAAGAATCCATAGTCATTTCTCTTGAAGCCTCTTGCCTAGAGATGAATGGCCTTGCTTAGAGGAGTTGTAGTGTGTTAGTGTACTGAAGCATGCCTTATAGCAACAGCTCCCCGGCCCTGGAAAGCTGTGCTGTGGATTGACATCATTTGTATAAATGAACCACGTTAAATGTGTCATAAGGGATTTACAGTCAATTAAGTGTGTTTTAAGAGTCATCTTGTGATGAGCCCATTTAACAAACATGGGTTTTGTGAACCAGTTCAATACTTACTTCTTGATTGGTCTAATCCATTTGATAGAAATTCATTTATCACAAAGTAATATTTTTACCCTCGCTTTAAATACACTGAAAGTTAATTTTAGAGGTGGAGAAATGTATTAATGAAAAATTTAGTTGCCCCATTTTAAAATTTTTCTATTAAAAACATAATCTGGACTTTAAGTAATCAGTCATGGGATATCTTGTTTCAACTGTGAACAAACTCCTATAGAACTGGAAAAAACAGAGAATTGCAGGACGTGCGTCTTTTCACCACAAAAAAAACCTCTGAGGCCACACAGCAAGATTTTGTCATGCTATTGTGTTTGGATAAAAAGCTAACAAATTGTGAGATCAAATAAGGACTTGTGATGGATGGTTTTCCTTAAAAAAAAGGTGTGATAGAGGTTCTTCTTACCTTAGCGTGTCTTTTTACTTAACCGCTGTCTTCGGTTAACACCCTCTTCAGAATCTCCCACTACACATATGATCCATTGGTCAAATGTTTACAGTATTTGTTTCTAAATGCATCTTTGTAATTTCTTAATTGCAGCATGCCTTGCCCACATCTCTAACTTTACTTAATAATTTAGGATTGAAGCGTGGTAAAAACTGAACACTCCTACGTGAAGGTTTCACTGACAAGATCAGAAATGACTTTAAATCTTTTATAAAATATGTATGCCCTGCAAAACAGTAACAAGTTGAATTTTTAAAAAAAGAGCTATTCAGCATCATCATTGTTGCTATTATACGTTATTTTAACATAAAAATATTCTTCTGCCATTTTGGGGAACACACTTATCCCTCCCTGTTGTTTCATTTTTTTTTACCCCCATGGGGTTATTATAATATTATTTTTCTATTTTCAACAAATACTAACAGAACATACATCTATGCTATGAAGCAAAAAGAGTTCAGTAGATATAAGGAAAGAGCTAAGAAGGAAGAGCACATGTTAGAGAGAATTCATGGAATAACGGCGTACACTCCACTGAGTTCACAGAGCCTCTCAGTAACAGGAGGGTCCTTTCTGCTGTTTGTTCCACCAGGATATTTCCACAGAACCTACTCATTGGAAATATTCTGGTTTTGTTGTTCTTGCTATTATTGTTATTTATTTTTTTCATTTTTAGCTGATAAACTTCAGCACAATGAAAACCTGTTGACAATTTAAGAGTTCCCTACCTCTTCGGCTACTAAAACTAAAGTTGTTTTATTGACCTGTCAATGATATTAGACTAATATATAGTGATTGGCAAGGAAGAGGTTTTGGCAATAGGCAAAAATTACACAAAAAAGTACAAAGAATTGTTTACAGGATAAGGGTGACTCTTTTCAATTTGGTAACCCATTTCTTCATTATCGTATCATTTCATTATTTCAACAACAACATGAAGTATAAGTTCTGTGCAAAGTGTAGTCCAGTAGACACTGAGTGAGAAGTAATCCACTGTCCCTTTTCTTAAAACCTCACAATACAGTGAGGGTGATAGAGATAGAAACAAGTAATCCCAGTATAATATGGTGGAGGTTGGACTGAGAACTTGACACATTCAATGATGCTCAAAAACTGAGTCCTACAGGAGGAGGAGGAGGAGGACTACCCCAAGGACGGGAAAGGAGCACAGGCAGTGCAGGCAGCATTGTGGCAGAGTGTATTTTGTTAACGAAACAGAAACGTGGTTGTAAATGGAATTCGAGGGGTGATGGGGAGAATGTTATTTCAGACTGGAGTGGTAAGTTGGAAGACAGACAGTATTATTTTCATGTTAAGGAGTTTCAGCTCTATCCTGTAGACAATGACAAGTTACGAATGTTTTTAGGAAGAGAAGTGCTTTGATTGGTAGATATATTTAGCAATTACTTGAGGAATGCATCTGGACTGAGAAGTATTCATGACTGGGAGACCTGTAAGGTAGTTTCCTAAAGAAAGCAGGAATGAAGAGTTGTAGGTAAGTTCAAGAGATATTTCTAAGATGAGGTTTACATGTAGATTTCTAAAAGGTTCTTAATTTATTACCATTTTGTTCTTCATTGCTTAGTGTAGACAAGTGATGTCCAACAGAACTTTCTACGATGATGGGGACATTCTATTTCTGCACCCTCCAGTATAGTAGTCATGTGGCTGTTAGTGTGGATGTATGACTAGTATGATTAGGAACAGAATTTTTAATGTTATTTAATGCTAATTAATTGTAATTTAAGTAACCTCATGTGGCTAGTGGCTACAGTATAATTACAGACTACCAAAACATTCAATTACTTAACACATTTATCAGTAACCAACCCTGTGCATGACACTGCTAAACAGTAAGTCTTACAGAAGTTAAAAAAAAGTCATACCTGTACTCAGGGGACTTATGACCTAGTGGATGATACATGCATTAAACAAGAAAGCACACAGGTTAATACATAAATGGAAAGTGTGAGAAGTGCTGTAATGGAAAGATCACAAGGTGCCATTAGGAAAAATAGGTGGGCTTTAGAAAGGATATGGAAGGTCTCTCTGAGATGGTGACTTTTGAACCAGATGATTAAAATGATTAGGAAATTCTAGGGCAAAGGTGACAAGGATGGGGAAGAATATTCCAGGTAGAAGGAAAAGCATGTGTGAAATCTCAGAGGTGAAGGAAAGCATCTAAGGAATTAAAGGAGGTTTACTGGGACTGGAGCATAACAAATAGGTGGAAATGCAGGATGGTGATTGTTTCCTTTTAAAGCATGCATGAAATGTCAGCCGTCTTCAGGAGTCCTATCTTCCCTGTTCATAGTCAGGACTAAGTGATAGTGCAGATACTGACTCCACGATGTAGAGGAATGGCTGCAACAAGTTCCTGTCCTATGAGATCCTCCCTGCATTTTAATCTCCCTTATCCTATGCCAGAGACCTCGAGACTAGCTCTGTAGACAAAAGACTCATATGTTCTTAGTAATTGTGGTTTCCAGAAGATAAGACAGAGATGAGGAAAATGTACAAAGGGAGACATTCTGATATTTCAGATAAGAAACACCAAAAAAAGTTGATGGGCATAATTGTGTATTTGGACATGTTGAATTTCATGTGGTTCTGGGATATGCTGCCATAATAACCAGTTGAAAGTATAAACCTGAGACTCAGTAGTGTCTGGACTAAGGATTGTGGAAATCACTGGTGTATCGGTGGTTCTTAAAATTATGGAAATGCCTGCAATTCCCCAGAAGATTTGTAGTACAAGATCAAAGGGCAAGGACAGAATCCCGAGGGACAGTGATGTTTAAGATAAAGAAGAGGAAAGGGTCCATGACGGCAATTGAGAAGAAATAGTTTGATAGCAGGTGGAGAACTGGACGAGAGTATTGTCACAAGTCAAGGATAAAAACTGTTTCTAGAAGAAAGCAGGTGCCAGTAATGTCACACACCAAAGGAAGTCAGGTAAGATTATGACTAAAAAAATCAGGTATTAGATTTGGCCGTAAGGATATCATCAATATCTTTTGCGCAAATGATATGAATATTCAACTTGAAATCAGACCTAAGCTTACGTCTCTGTTCTGCTGCTTTCTGGCTCAGTTTCTTAACATAGAAAAT